GTACAAAAAAGCCAGGCCAAGCCTTTGGCCTGAAGCACTAAAAACATCTCACATATTCTGAGCATACACAAAGCTGCTGTTAAGAACCATTATATCTGCAGCTAATGTACCCTATTTGGGATTATGAGATTTCAATCAATGATGTCTACTTGTTGGCAATTAACATGAAAATATTCAGCTCATAAAATCACCCTTCTAAAATGAAGTCACACGAGGACATTACAATAGAATAAATGCAAAATCTGCTAGCCCTGATCAGCAGGTTTTCCTTGGCATACATGCTTTAATAAACATCCATTCAGCATATGCAATCGTGCCAGCAAAATAGCAATACACGCAGTGTGCTATAAGCTATAACTAAGATACAAAATGCCATGGTAAGTTGTCACCTAGGTGTTGCAGCGTAACCTGGTCGCCACAGAGGCAAGGCATCGCCCTGTCGCCTGACTATGTAAATTAATTGAGAAGCTTTTCCTGACGCAAAGCTCTTTCTTGTTAATAGTATATTTTTTCTTCCATGAAACTTTCAGGTATCAATCACAACTTCAGAAGAACCTCTTGTATCTCGCTGCAATCGCAGATGCCCAACCACAGACTGCTGTAAGCCGCCCTCAGGTTTGTCATTTCTAGACCTAGCTGTGCACATATCCTTTCTACTCTATGCCCTCATGTTATTTCTGCAAACAGATGGCGCCGCCTGGTGGATTGCCTGGAGTAGGGCAGTATATGTCACAGGTGCCTATTTTCCCACCGAGGACCCCTCTAACACCCCAGCAGATGCAGGAGCAGCAACTTCAGCAGCAGCAGGCTCAGTTGCTAAATTTCAGTGGCCAAATGGTTGCTAGACCTGGCATGGTCAACGGCATGCCTCAGTCCATTCAAGTTCAACAAGCTCAGCCACCACCAGCAGTGAACAAACAGGATGCTGGTGGGGTCGCCTCGGAGCCCTCGGGCACTGAGAGCCACAGGAGCACTGGTGGTGATAATGATGGTGGAAGCGACTAGGCCAAAAAAGTCCCGATAATTTACGAGCTATCCTTTTAGGTCGCAAAAGATGCATGTATACTACCGATGATGAAGAGAGGATCATTCCTGTGCCCTTCAATGATAAGTGGCCATGATCTTCGCATGGATGATGATCAGTAGCTGTCACGTTTTACCTTTGTTGTCAGTCTGTAAAACAGACTTAGATTATTGTGACTTTTATTTGCTTGCTCTTTCCATACTGTACTTTTGTAGGCTCGAAGCCATATGCTAGTTTATGGTTTCAGGAGCTGGATTCAGTTACGAGTTGTGATGGCAAAACTTTCAACTCTTCACGTAGCTGGATTCATTATGTTAGAGCTGAATGTCATATGAAGTCCTATAGCTTCCAAGAACTTAGCTACCATGCTTTTCCTTTTATTATATGCATTCTACTTGTGTCATGAAATTTTTTATTTCGCTGAACTTGGGCCTGCTTATCTAACAGCAAATCAACTAGGAAGCCTGCACAACCTTTAGGGTCCTAGAATATACTACCAGGCTTATAGTGAACTCCGTTGATTCAAATCTTTTGAATGTTCTGATAATCACCATTTCTTCTGAATGTCGTGCTAATACAATGGGGCAGAGCTGGTGGTGGAAACCTCGACATGTTTATGGAAGGATGAGAAAGCCATGTGCCAAGTTAGTGAAATTGCTTTGAAAAATCGTGCCATGTTGACATGTACTCATTGAATAGCTCTTTTTTTTTAATGATCAATAGCAACAGAAGGGAGGTGCGAATGAAACTGCTGCCTCAGGTAATTTCCTTATTAAGATTTCCCTTTTGCCTAGTACAAAAACAAGCTGAGGATGGTGTGGTGCTTTTGACTTTATGGGGTGTGAGTGATTTGAGCTTCATTGATTCCTAATTCTTGGGGTCCCTACTTCTCAATAAAAGTCAACTATTGCTTTCCCTGCTTTCAGGAACTTCCAACTAGTCACTTCTCGCTTTTGATCTCTTCCGTTTCCCAAGTCGGGTAACCGCTTTGTTTTCCTGTTTCCTTTTACGAAACCTTCATCACTACTCCTTCACTGAAACATGCTTAAAATGAGTTTAAACTCAGGTTTAAACAATCAAATGTACAATCTATCTTCTTATCCCAGCTCGAGGTAAGGAGCCAATGGAGTTTGAGGTCAGGTGTTATGCTAGATTGACTCAATAAGAGAGAGGAGGATTGTATAGATGATATATGTGGCTTGTATCTATCAATTGCCCTAGACAAGGGTTTATGTTAGACGAAGCGGTTGGATTGAGTGAATAAAGAAAAAGTATCAAGAATTGTTGTTCTTCCACTGCTACAAGCTTCCAATCGGATAAAAAGATAGGAGTAGGTATGACCTTCCACGCAGATGATCCGTTGCCTTGATTCAGTAGTCAGATACCTTTGTGGGGGTAGAACTGGACCCCGGATTGGATGGATGGATCGGCTGTAGGTTTTGGATTATGGTAAAATTGCCTTATTAAAAAAAGAGCTACTCCCTACCTGCCATCGGGGGCTTGACCATAATGATGTGATAACTTTGATATATTATTATGATACTATGCTTTCATTGTTGGACTTGTTGTAAGTCGTCTCCTGAAGTAAATAGTGGTGGCTAGAAATGTGTTGCGGTACTGGCATTGGATTAACTAACTGAGTTTTGAAGTAGCTGCATGCAAAATGTGAGATGACTAGTTGCATTTCATCACACGGTGAAGATTATAACTATAGTTCAGTCCAAACACACATAGAGACACATTATGCAACGCCTCTTGGACAACTATCATCTTTGGATGCTGCACTAGTTGCAACCTCCACTCCCTAGTCCCTCCAGAAGATTTCACCACTCTGAATGGCGGAACAGCCAAAGTCAATCTCCGATTACCCATCCTCAAGCACACCTCAACCAGCTCACACCTTCAAAACAACACGCAACCCACCAAAACGAATGACGAATAGACCACAAACCAGCGAGAAGAAGTGGCAAACCTCATAAATATTAGGGTCAAATGAGGTGGCGGGGTCACGTGAGTAATTTCCCCAGCTTTTGCTGCGCCAGAAACCGTTATGCACGTCAGAATCTCACCGGGGAAGGACTGCTCAGCGTGCATAGAAGGGCTAGCGCCCGACGTCCGGCCACAGGACGTGTATGGATGCAGCTCCTGTGGGACGCCCCCGCATCACATAGCAAAAAAACTATAGCAAAAAAAGATTCAACGCTAGGGTTCGAACCCAGGCCTTTGAACTAAGTCACGCACGTCCTAACCAGCTGAACTGCAATGGCATTGTTGCATATTTCTCGTAACAATTATACATGTTTCATTTCAAACGTCAAGATCTATAGGTTAACAGCTCGGCACCAAGATCTACGGCGCCAAGATCTATGGCGCCGAGGCCTTGTCCACGTCGGCGCCAAGTTACCGCCACGTCCGACGCCTTGCCAAGACCTCGGCACTATTGGCCATGGCGTTGAGACGTATTTCCTCGGCGCCAAAAGTTATGGCACCGAGGTCAGGGTTCATAAACGAAAATCAAACCACCAGGGGTCTATTTGTGAATATTTTTCAAAAAATGTTGAAAAATAAAAAATTCGGGGGCGGATAAGCAGATGAGCAAAGTGGGGATTTTGTTTTTGTTTTTGAGAGAGATGGGGCTGGTCCTGCGTAGATCTAGGAGCCGGGTCCGGACGGGAGTCATGGGACGCCGTGACGTGTCATTATCTTAACTATTCCACATGTCTTCTATGTGCACGTAGCAGAATTTCTCATGTTAAGCCTTAAAACTAGTATAGCACGGTACGGAGAGAAGAAAATAATAAAGACATTGAGAAACAAAATGCAAATCCAGCATCCATCGCATCGCAGCATCCATTTACCTCCGGTACCCAGCATCTTCCCGTTTTGATCCCCTTGCCATCTCATCATCCAACGGTGCAGATTCAATCAACGCCCCCTCCCACTCCTATCCGCCATTAAATACCTCACATCATCCCCTTCCTCTGCCCATCCCACTTACAAAACCCATCCAGACAGAGCCGACAAGTGTCCAAAGCAACAGAGCAGATAAGATTTTGATGTTGTTCACTGCATACCAACATGTAAATATGATGATTCCGCATCTAAATCACATATACTACATGCATGCTATGTACTCTCGTCTCGATCGATCACATTAATATTCCGCACATATTGCCCATGTTTTCTGCTTGGCTTGGATCAAGCAAGGCCTGGTATGGTGACGGGGTGCAGCAGCATGAGTTCGTTCCCATGATGAGCACTGCCACAGTGAGACGGACAAGATCCAAATAGATAGCCATTTGGACCGCCCGACGCGGCACAGCATGGGCTCGACCAAGTCATGACCCACTGTCACCAGGCCAGGCACAGCATGTCACTGGGCTATGCCGAGCCAAGCACCATGCCTAACCAATGGCCTAGTCACGGCATGCCGGGCCGTTTTTCGGGTCGTACTGGCCTGAAAAGCATGCCCAATTAGCAGGTCGGAGCAGCCCGGAGCCCGCTGTTAGCTAAACCCCTCATTCACCTCATTCAATTTTCTCATTTCAATGTGGATACAATACAACACAAGTTTACAATAGAATAAGTGAATAACTGATCATACAACAGTAAGACAGAATAACATTATTCCATACAACACTCGAATTCGAAGATATATTTCAAAGTTCCAGTCTTCCAGATCAATAAAAATGAAGCCAAGATATGAAAACACCAATGGATTAACAAAATGAAGACAAGATATAAGAAAAGCTAATATTATTGAGCTGTTTGTGCAATGTTGCCTTATTAAAAACCTTTCTAGGTAAAATTCACATATCATGAGAAGCCCTAAAAAGGAAAAAAGAGTACAGCTGGCTCATTCAAAGTTTGATATTTCAATGTCTTAGACTCTTAGTCTTACAAACCATAGTACCAAACTCTCGCTCTCACAAGATGACTCTTGTAAGAATCCATGTTCCCCAAGATGACTGTCTCTTCAGTGTGGTTTCGGTACATAGCCATCTACCATGAAGTTTCTTGAGGCTCTAGGTATTGCCAGCCGCATACCATCAAGTTCAGGCTTCGCGATCACTTGGCATGCAGATCTGAATACAGTTCCAGCAAGTCAGATTAGAGCGATGAAACTATGGCAACCCACCTCTAATAATACTTTGGGTGGGGTCCGCATGAATTTCTTAATGGTTGTGATTCATCTAATGCATTATTTTGTTGTATATGTATGAATTTACAAAAGCATTCTGAGCCATCTGTACACAACGACCAAATTAGTTATTTCTTATAGAACTAGTTGGAGTTGTCATAGTTTCGATTTTTCATGAACATACTTATTATGCCTATTGCCTAGGTGCCACTATAACAGCCATGTTCATGCAGACTACAAACTGGTTTTGGAAACTTTCAAGACTAGTATTAAAAAAACTGGATCTTGTCTAAGGCCCACCATTTCTGTTACAAAAAAGGTCAACGCCCATAGTCATCAAATTTAGAACAGATTCTGACGATTACTCCCAGAAACTCAAATAATGAAATGTTTGTCTCCGTTACACAGAGATAGCAAAATTCAGGAGACAATATAATAAGAGTACTAAGTTACTCTGTTAGAAGGATTTTGACTTACGTTTCGGTGAGCCCACATGCAAGGTCAAGAATATCATTTTCTTCATATGTTGGATCTTCTAACTTGTTATAATAATAGTTTACATCCTGGATAAATTTAAGAATTCTAGTTAGCAGCGGAACTTAAATATCGATGACGACAACAACAATAAAGCCCCAAAACAATCAGGGCAGGTTAGATGGCTAGAGATGAAACCCAACATGAGCCACCAGCTAAAAGGAAAAAAATTGTATAAAATAAAAAAGCATTACTAAAAGTATATTATTACAAATTTGAAAAAGTATATTGCGAGCATACTGCATACCATTACTTTTACATGACAAGTAGAACACGCAAGTGAACCCTCACATGCTCCTGCAGAAGCCAGAATAGCAGGGAAGGTTACCATTAACTACAGCTGAAAATCAGTTCATAGAACATTAAGAGGACTGGTTAAGATACCTAATGTATTGATGAAGAATGATAAAACCATAGAACTAGTCGATTGAGCATGAGAACATAAAAAGGCCCGATTAAGATACCTAATGTATTTTGATGAAAAATTGTAAAACCATGGAGCCAGGTGATTGAACATGACTAGTTTGTTTTTTATATAAAAAAGGATCCATATTCTTATCACCAAGCAGGACTGACTACAGAACCATAGACGCAATAACCACACTGGAAGGGAATTGCACATTTCCATGAAAATATGCACCTTCAAGCTCTATGTCGTTTTCATGAGCAGCTTCTAACATGGACATTCCAACTGGAACACAAATCGTCTTTTCTGAGCCATCCACATAAACAAATGTTACAGAGATTCTGTGTGCAGTACAAAGAAAAATGAGCTCATCAATCATCAGAGGACTGCCTCTAGCCCCCTACCCAAAATAATTGTTGACAGGTAAACACAACATTCAGTAAAACTGGTCAGGCTAAAGCATCTATTCCTCTAGACGTGTAAGGAGCAGCTCCTTGAATGGAGAGACAAAGAATAACAAAAGAATTCCATGTTAGATGCATCTCGATTAAGCTATTACTTGGTTCCAAGATACAAAGACAACTAGGGAGTTCAGATTTCGTGATATATAAGAGGATGAAACAAGAGACAAATGCAGTTACTTATCTTTTGCCTGACTGCTTTCATCCTGCTCACCACTTGTTGCAGTTGACAAAAGTACATTTCGCTAAAAAAAATAAACAAAAAATTAATACAAAAAAACTTGAGATAGAAATCATCACTCCTGCAGTACAAAGGCTTTGTTTGCAGTCTCTAAAAAAAAGCTAACTTACTGAGGAAAAAGAATGTCAATTTTCTTTTGCAACAACCATTACGGAATGGGGAATGTATAGATAGATTTATCGAATAAAAAACAAATTATGAAAATAATATATATAGTCCAAATCAATGTCGATTGATTAAGCGAATCAATAACTAGTGATATCTTTAATATTAGCAGGAAAGAAGGGTAGCACATGTTCATCTAAATAAATTCTTCACTACCAATCTTTAATTCTTACCAACGATAATACAGTAGGAGTTACCACTGGGGTCGAATGCCGGTTAACATAACCATACAAAATGCCTCGACGGCTTCGCAAGTTTCCTGCCCGACAAAGTAGCAAGTAGCAACAATCAACAATAGGTAAGGGGGCACCAAGCATTCAGTGTACAACATTAGCAATACATAAACTCAGGAGAATCTCAAAGCCAAAATGCAAGAAACATTAGTATCAACTGCAAGATTAACATTCCGCAGAATCATAGGGCTGATCGAAGTTTATTAGCAAAATTTCATCACAACTAATGAGCAAAAAGCCAATAACGAGTAGGCCACCTATAATAGAGGGAAATGAACTAAGGCTCCGTTTGGGTCATTGGAATTGAAATCTATTCTAACAACCACAATTTAGACACAATTCAATTAAGTTAATATGGCCAAATGTAGAATATACTTATATACTGTTGTTAGTTAAATGGGGGGGTACTTTTCTACAGCAGTTTTGTAGGGTAGCGAGCCAAAGAGCATAGAAACATAGCAAGAGAATCTATGGAATCAATTTCTCTCTTATCCCATGATTTTTTTTAGAACATGCGCCGGGGCGCAAGCTTTTCATAAGAGGACAACCCCCTTGATTTAATTTAAAACAACCTTATTTTCAAACTTTGGAACGTCAAATTCTAAGCCAAAAAACATAGGCCCTGTTCGCTTGAACTTATCAGCCGTACCGTTTCAGTGAAATAACAGTGTTTTTCTCTCATAACAAATCAACATCAGCATCAGCATTAGCATCAACCGTTTTTCCAACCAGCCGAAGAGCGCTAGTCCATAAGCAAAATTCTAATTCCTCATAAATAAAAAGATTCAAAGAGGCCCTAAGAGGAAAGTAGAGATTTTTTTTGAGCAACAAGAGGAAAAGTAGAGATGCAAATGTAACGCCCCAGTCCGGGAAGACGACTAAGATCCACTCTACACATTGAATGGATCATACCTGCTAATTAACTCTCTTACGCTTTCGTCCTCGCTTCACGCAAAATGTTCGAAGCAGAGTTTATTCTCTCCTAGGCTCAGGCTTTTGAGTTGGTTCAGCACATCCTCTGGTTCCGACGGGACTAAAGTCCCGCAGCTACACTGTTCCGCTGCTACAGTGCTACAGTGCTCATTCATTCGGCAACCGGATCTACAGTGCTCATCCATTCGGCCCAGCCCATCAGGCCGGCCCAACTTGACCCATTTAGCGGGGTCTCACAGCCAACCAGCTCTCGTGTGGGCACTAGACTCGCGCAGGAGCCGTGCCCCGAGCCGGGAGATCCACGGGAACATCGCGGCAGCTGATCCTGCTCCCTCTGATTCCTAGAACAGCTCACAAGATAACGAATCAGCGCAACGACCGCCGCGTGCTGGACGAGCAATCAGCAGGGCTCAGCTAGCCGGCCGGCGTCACAAAACGAGGTGAACTCAAGTTGAAGCTGGGAGACTGAACCGTCCGGAAGCAGCGGGAACCAGCTGCCTGACCTCTCCACAACGGCGGGAAGGACGGGGAAGGCGACAAGTTGGGGTGCGGGCGTTGCGGATCATATTCATATTGATGGTTGGGTTCACAATATTAGAGCAGCATATAAAATACCTATGATCAACTGGAATATTTCATTTGCCATATTAATATAGCTTGGTATTAAATAGAATTATGCCAAAATTTCATCTTACCATATCAAGCGGCTCGACATCTGGCATATGATTTGAGGCTGATTGGATATATACAGGTGATCTCTATGGCATCTGTGATGTATTTTTGGGTTTTCCATACCGATGGAATCACGATAATGCATGCTCTCCTCACGGCGTCCTGATGGACGGACGCGAATTCCCCGCTCCCGTCCTCGCCGCCCGTGCCCCTTCCGCTCAGTTTACCAGCTCCCCTAATGCTCTCCTCGTGGCTTCTCCATCTAAAAAAACAAGATGTCGATTCTCCCCATTTCGGTGCTGCTGCTTGTGCTCTCCCCGGCCTCGCTCCTATCCCTCCTCCAACTCGGCTCGCCACCGCCTCCCGCTCTCGCCATCCCTCCTCCTTCCCACCACCGACGGAGGAAGCATCATTAGCAGCATGCCCCCGAGGTCGTCGCACGCTCGCCGCCTCCCTTCTCCAGCACACCGCGGGGACCGCGCCCACCTGTCCTGTCGCCGGGAGCGACGTAGCCACTCATCGGGGCCATGTAGCCGCTCGTCGGGTTTGTGCCCAGCCGCCCACCTGCATCCCCCACGCGACTTCGCGGCATCGAGCTCCGCATCAACAAGCCTCCATTCGTCCAAGGAGCAAGTAGATATTACGCTTGAAAGCGCATGTTGCAAGTATATGTTTCAAGTGTTTTTAGATGTTTCAGAGGTATGTTGCAAGTGTTTCATATGGATGTTGCAAAATTAGATCGAGATGTTGCATATGTTGCAATGGTTGTACACGTATGTTGCAAACGTCTGTTCTAAATGTTTCATCTATTTTTTCAGACGTATGTTTGCAAGTGTGTTTATCTGAATATTGCATGTGTTTCACACATATGTTGTGTGTGTTTATCTGGATGTTGCATATATTTTGTAATGGTTTTTTCAGGCGTCTTTCAGGTGTTTTTACAAGTGTTTTAGACGTATATTGCAAGTGTTTCAACCGTTTCAACGTATATTACAAATGTTTTATTTGGATGATTTAAAATAGATCGGTGTTGCATCTCCCTCCTCGTCTTCTGCTGCCTCACATCGGTGTCTCCTCCTTTTCTTGATGTTGGTGATGTTCGGGCGATGTGGGACCGCGTGGGGACGGGCGTGCGTGGGTGAGGCTAGTCGTTCTAGTAGCATGGAATCCGAGGGGACGGGGTGCGCGGCACGAAGCAGACGTAGAGTGTGGGGAGCTGTGTTTGGACTCGGGCCTAGGGCCGGACGTCCGGGTGCTAGCTTGGCCCAATTCATTTTGACCCAATTTTACAATTTGTCTTATTTTATATTACTAGCTTCCAAACGGTAAATGAGGTACTTGCCATGTAACGTTTTAAGCTCAAAAACTACCTATTAATAATCCGCCCTAGGAATGGATTAGGTGGATGAGAACAAAAAGGTGTTGGAACTTTCTATGGAATAGGGAGAAATGGTGTGCATCATTATTTGTTAGGTATAGAATAAGAAACCGAGTGAAAAATGTATCATTCACCGGGTTAGCATGGCGGTGGCTATAGATGATGGGGCTCTAGAGGAGCCAGGCAGGTGGCGGTGGTGGTGGCGTAACTTAGTCGGAGATGAAGAGTATCGCCCTGTTTGTTTCACTGATAAGCCATGGCTGAAAGTACTGCTGGCTGATTTGTTGTGAAAGAAAAATATTGTTCGCTCGTTGAAAAAGTACGGATTATAAGCCAAGCGAACAGAGCGTATGACGAGGAGGAGACATATCTGATGGATTTTGGGGCCGGATCGTGATAGACGGTAGCGGGTGAGAGACGTGTTGGGGCACAGGCAGTGGAAGAAGTTGGCACTAGACAAATGAATCAGTGATATAGGAGTACACATGACTGAAGTCTGAAGGGCCGCTGGCTGAAGCAACAAGGATGCAATCACAAACGCTCGTGCACGTACACCGCCACATTTGCACATTGCTAGAGGTCATTGGCGTGTTCGCTGGTTGATTTCTGGGCTGGTTTGGACTGGCTGGTGCTGGTTTATTATGAGAGAAAAACACTGTTGGTTGATTGAATAAGCCTGACTGAAACCAACGAGCTAACATATCGGGAAAAGGGAGAACATCCACGGATACACACCATTTTCCCAGGATCTCTCCCCCATCTTCCTAGTCGCTGACATAAATTTCGCACAGGGTCCAGAATTTCGTGGGATTATTTGCTGAGCCAACGCTTTTTTTTGGTAAATCACACATGCACAGGCAACCGTAAACTATGACATCATCCACGGAGGAGACACCACGTGGCAAAAAGATGGTTTCCGTCGTCCTCCCCGCTATATATGGCCAAACGGGCCGCCCGGCACGACACTGGCACGGGCACGGCCAGGCACGGCACTACGCGGCACGGCATGTTAGCCGTGCCGTGCCTGATAGTGCCGCCGTACCGACTCAGCAGCCTAGGCACGGCACTATCATGGCTTAGACGTGCCGTGTCATGCCACTGGGCACGGCAGCCCATAGTGCTCGTGCCGGTACTGGCATTAAAAGTGCCAAACACCTCAGAAACTTCAGAATTTTAACAGAAACTTGTATAATATATCAAACTTTAGAAGATCACACTTTGACAGCAGAGATACAAGTTCAAACTTTAACAGAAACTTCAGAAGATCACAAACACAGAAACAGACCAGAGAGCAAAATAAAATTTTATTGGAGCTTTAGTGTAATGGCTGCCTCATTAAAAACTTGTCTAGGTAAAACTCACCCTTGTGAGAAACCCTAGACAGGAAAAAAAGAGTACAGCCCAGCTCCTTTTAAGTTCATTGTCCTTAAATCAAAGTTCATAAGTCCAGCATATTACAGTCCAGTACATAAATGATAACTAAGACAACTAATCAAGATAAAGTTCTTCAAATGCTTCTTCAAGCTCCTGGTCTTGCACATTGTGCTGCATCCTTGCCTCTGCTGCCTCCCAGTCTTTGATGCAGGTGAGTATCTCCACCATCTCAGCCTTCATCCTCCTCCGCCGCTCCTCGATTATCCTGTCAGTCATACTAAAAGTGGACTCTAAAGATATGATAGAAACATGAACAGTTAAAATATCTTTAGCCATGATTGACAGAACTGGATAAGTGAGTTTGTGCTCATGCCACTAGTTCAACAGGTTAAAATCATCATCTAACTGGCTAACAGTGTCACAGTCTAAGTAGAAAACCAGTTCAGAAGTATTATTATTACAAGAACTTGCAGCATGCAGCAGGGCAGTTGCAGAGGTATGTCTAGACAGATTAAGAGTACCAGATAGATGATGGATACCACCTGCAGAACAATCACCTTCATCATCATCATAAATCTCATCCCAAGCAGACCTTTTCTTACCAGACAGGTTAGGAGGGACAGTCCTCCTCAACCTAACAGATCCAAATTTCTCCTCATACTTATTGTAAACATCAGTTAGTTGAGCTCTAGTGACAAGCTGGTAAGTTTCATAGGATGTACTGGTAAGGCTACCCAACCTCCTCAGTACTCTGCTGAAACCTTTCATTTTAGCTCTAGGATCCAAGATGAATGCAAAAGAATATAGCAAAGGAATATCCCTCCAGTATTTATTATATTTGTCTATCATTGGTTGAATCACATGTCTGAGGTGAGTGTCATTACCATAGTTTTTTAGGTGTATAGCAATCTTAACTAGATAATGAATCATAAGTGGAGATGTAGGATAGTACACACCAGACAAAGCAACAGTAGCATCATAAAACAGTTCAAGAAATTTAAATACTTTTTGTCCAATAGCCCAATGTTCATCAGTTAAAAGCAACTGACCACCTTCACCCCTAGGATAGTGAGCATGCATGAAAGTAGTGAAAGGAGTCTGGTGAGGAAACAAATGCTTGAGCATCAGATATGTAGAATTCCACCTTACCTCCATGTCCAGCTGAAATTTCCTAGGTCTAACACCAGTGGCAATACAATAACTTTTGTATGCAGCAATTCTCTGGTTAGATGAGTTCAGAAATGATATTGCAGTTCTAAATGTTTCAATCAAAGGCTGAAGAGCACTAAGGGTCTCCTTAACAATCAGATTTATGATATGACATGCACATCGCTGATGCATAAACAACGTACTAACTGCATTATCAGTTTCATTTCTATCATTTCTATCATTATCAGGGGGTACTTCAATACCAAGATATTTAGACAGTACAGGCCTAAGTGTATGCATGGCAGAAACATTAGATGAGGCATTGTCCAAAGTAACAGCAAAGAACTTTTCACTCAAACCATAATCAGCAAGCACAGATATGACCCTTTCAGCAATGTTTTGTCCACTGTGGGACACATTAATAAGCACAAAACCAAGCACTCTCTTCTCTAGTTGCCAATCAGGATTTATGTAATGAGCAACCACACTAAGATAGTCCTCTTTGGCATTACCAGACCAAATATCAGAGGTAAGACAAACACAATTTATAGCAGATGAACTAAGAGTCTCAACAAGCTTAGTCTTTTTATCAGTGAAGTATTTGACTATGTCTACAGTGGTGGTTTGTCTAGAGACAGGAACAAACTTTGGATTATGAGCATTTCTAATGTAATCATAAAAAGCATCAGTTTCACCCATACAGATAGGCACATCAAGTCTAGAAAGCAATCGAACCAGTTCAGTGCGAGCAACAATAGGACAGTACTCCCAAGTACACATACTACCATAAGGATTAAAAGATATCTGAGACTGAGTCATGCGAGTTTTCTCATGCCTCTTAACACATTTGTCCCTATGACGAGTGAGGTGACCAGTGCCACCACTAGAGAGAGCAGAGTACTGCTTATTGCAGTGGATGCAACGAGCGGCATACCTGATCTTCTTACCTTTGGGACCTTTTTTGAACAACTTCTTGAAATCGAGCCACACAACCGAGGTAGAAGGACGCGAGCGCTTGTCGTCGTTGTCATCCTCTCCTTCTTCTTCTTCGCCCCCTGCTGCATCAGCTTCAATGGGATCCTCAACGCGACGGCCGAACAGCTCCGCAGCGTCCTCGCGCAGGTCATCCTCGTCGTCATCTCCGGCTAGCCCGCACATCCGCCTCTCATCGTTGGCGCTGACCTCAACGGTCTCGTCGGAGGAGCGGGCCATCGTCACTCGCCGGCGCCTGGTTCCTCAACGGCTTCACACATAAACAAAGAATCAGTAGCAGATCTAGTTAGGGTTAGGGTTAGGGTTAGGGTTTACAGTACCTTGGCGGCCGGAGCACCGGGAACGCCGGCGACATCGACGACGCGGGATCCGGCCCTCTGGTTCCTCGACGGATGCGAATCAAGAGGGGACCTACAGTAGGGGAGCACATCAGATCGAGATCCAGGAGGGGATAAGAAAGGAAGAGCCAAATCTAGAGGGGAGCAAAGCTCAACTTACCGACATCCGGAGCACCAGAGTTGCCGGGGGCCCGGCGAGGTCGACGACGGTGACGAATGAGACGACGAGGTGGACGACAAGGCTACATCAACGGGGCGAGATCAAGACGAGGTCGTGCCGTGTGCCCGTGCCGGCCAGCAGTGGCTCTAGATTCCACCGGAGGACGAGAAGAAGAGAGGAGACACCACCGGAGGCGAAGAGGGAGACGAAGAGAGGAGAGAGCCGCTCGCAGAGGTTAGAGCGAGAGACAGAAGAGAGAGGGAGCTGGAAACAAATGAGCTAGGGTTTCGTCGATACGGGGCGGCGTGGGGGCGCTGGCTTATATAGTCGACCCATCCATCGGTCGGATCCAACGGTCATGAAAGATCTGGGGGAGGGGATCAACGGCTCTCCTTTGCTGGATCCGTGCCAAGGCCGTGCCGACCTGTTAGCCGTGCCATGCCTGGGCCGTGCTAGCGGGCCGTGGTGGCAGCCCAGGCACGGCACTGCTGCCGGGCCGTGCCAGGCACGGGCACGAAGCAGGCCGGGCCGGGCCGGGCCTGGGCCGTGCTTTTTAGTGCCGTGCCCGTGCCGGCCCACCGTGTTAGTGCCATTTGGAAAAGTATACTCCCCGCTGCCATTCCGACCACCTGATCGATTCTCCGTCCTACTGACTGCGGCACCCGCCAGGCAGAAGCAATGGCCAGGACGGCGGGAGATGACGACGACGACGGCCCGCCGCCGGCCTACGCTGGACAGCGCGGGCCCCGGCGCGACCCGCGGCTCAAGGACCTCGGCATCTCCTGCATGCTCAACACCGAGGTGGGCGCGCTGCTGGCCGTCATCCGGCACCGCCCGGACCCGTACTCGTACCTCCCGCCGGCCGTCGCCGCCGCCGAGGAGGCCACGTTCGCGGCGCTCATCAACTCGCTCAAGGCCCTCCGCGGGCTCCTCTTCCAGCCCCGACACGGCGCGTGGCGCTGCTCCGACCCGTCCACGTACCTCACCCCGTTCCTGGACGTGGTGCAGAGCGAGGAGGCCCCGCCGGCGGCCACGGGCGTCGCGCTGTCCTCCGTGCTCAAGATCCTCCGCATCGACGTGTTCGACGAGTGCTCCCCGGGCGCGCGCGACGCGGTCCACGCCATCCTCACCGCGCTCACCAACCGCCGGATCGAGCGCATCTCCGACGCCGGCGCCGAGGAGGCCGTGCTGCTGCGCGTGCTCCAGGTGCTCGCCGCGCTCCTGCGGACCCGCGCCGCGCCGCTGCTGTCGGACAGCTCCGTGTGCACCGCCGTCAACACCTGCTTCCAGATCGTGCAGCACGCCACCAGCAGCCGCGGCAGCGAGCTCCTCCAGCGCACGGCGCGCCACTGCATGCACGAGATCCTGCAGGCCGTCTTCGCGGGGCTGCCGGACATCCGAGACGACGCTGACGGCGACGACCTATCGCTCGGCTCCAGCGCTGGCTTCGGCGCGCGCTGCATGGTGGACGTCTTCAACTTCCTCTGCTCCCTGCTGGTGAACGCCAGCGACATGGTTATAACCCCGGATGGCCAGGGCGCCTTCACCTCCGAGGAGGATGTGATGCTCTTCTCCCTCGTGCTCGTCAACTCCGCCGTCGAGCTTGGCGGCGAGGCCATCGGCAAGCACCCCAAGCTCCTGCGCCTCATCCAGGACGACCTCTTCTTCCACCTGATTCACTACGCCACCGAATACAGCCCTCTCGTCCTCTCCATGATCTGCAGCACTGCTCTCAACCTGTACCACTTCTTGCGCCGGTGAGCCAGCAATGTTAGTTACTCTGTTTAGCATTAGAGAAAGCTTAGGGCCTGATTGAATTTTATCCTCTAAACTTTAGAGCTCTAAATTTTAGCCCATCTCACATTAAAGCTTTAGAGCTCAAAAGTAAGCTAAAGTACTCTAAAGCTTTTAGAGCTCTAAAGTTTAGAGGGGATCCAAACATACCCTTAATGCCAACAACATTCAAAGCAAATTATGGATTAAAAATGGTAAAGAAACAAACTTTTTCGGTAACCAACAAATTGACAGAATACTTGTTGTCCTTGGGCAATGTTTACTTGTTATCTAATTTATTTATTATTTATTTACAACCAGGTATTAAGTTGCTACTCTTCTTGCATCAGTGCATCTAGAGGACTCTACATTTGACCTTTAGTGCATCTAATTTTTTGAGTATAAGATAAGAAAATTTCAAGAGATTTAATTATGGCCTCAGAACACTCACCTTACCGGGCTTTTAGATGTAATTAGTTTATACTCCCTTTATTTTTAATTGTAAGTCGTTTCGTCTTTTCTTCATACATAATTTTTTTACTATATATATCTACGTGTATAATAAAAACTATGAATCAAAAAACCAAGACGACTTATAATTTAAAATTCAGGAGGTACTAAGCTATCAACCATGCACTTATACAGGTTTGTAATCCTAAGAGATATAAGCGTTAAATCTAACAAAGGTTGAAAAATTCAGCCAGCATTTAGACGTTTTTTCGACCACCCTCTCCAGTGTTTATGTCAAAACAGGAAGGGAGAACCATGATTGTTGCACAAAAATTTTGAATTCTAGGTGCATGAAGAGTAAAGTCTAATTTACCCCCTGAACTAGTCGTAGAATTTTAAAAAACTCTCAAACTTTAATACCAGACAATATACATACCTTAACTTTTAAAACTAGAAAAATAACCCATTGACCATTTCAAAATTATTAAAGACTGAAGCAATAGTGTTTCCCAAAAAAATTAAAACTAGAGGGTGTATTTTGTCTAGTTTTAAAAGTTAAGGTGTGTATATTGTCTGACATTAAAAATTCAGGAGTAAATGAAAGATTGAAGATATCTTTCTTAGGGTTCAAGTATGACATAAAATTTAAATTTGCTGTGGTATACAATTATTTTAACCTCTGAAGCAATAGTGTTTCCCAAAAATTTTACCATCAGTCCACTGAAATTTCCACAAATCAACTGTGGTCAAAACTCGTTGGCATCAAATTAAAAATTTCCCCGTTACATGTTTGTGCTCGGTTCTAACTGCTAACTGTTGGCAACTGCATTGCTCTGCTTCACCAGGTTCCTCAAGCTGCAGCTGGAGGCCTTCTTCATGTTCGTGCTGCTCCGCGTTTGCGGCGGCGGCAACGGACCGCAGCTGCAGGAGGTGGCGGTCGAGGGCCTGATCAGCTTCTGCCGGCAGCCGACGTTCGTGATCGAGATGTACGTGAACTACGACTGCGACCCGCTGCTGCACAACGTGTTCGAGGAGGTGGGCAAGCTGCTGTGCAAGGCGGCGTTCCCGGTGTCGGGCCCGATGACGACGATCCAGCTGCAGGCGTTCGAGGGCCTCGTCAACATGATCACCACCATCGCCGACAACGTCGAGATCGACAAGACCCCCGAACACGACCCCTACGCCGTGGACGTGTCGGAGTTCCGCCTCTTCTGGATCGAGCGCTGGGACTCCGCCGCTGCCGCTGCCGCCGGCGACGGCGGCCATCGGGAGACGTGGGTGGACTTCGTGCGTAAGCGCAAGCTGCGGAAGAAGAAGGTTGCTGTCGCCGCGAACCACTACAATCGCGACCAGAAGAAGGGCGTGGAGTTCCTGAAGCTGTGCCACCTGGTGCCGACGCCGCCGGATCCCAGGAGCATGGCCTACTTCCTCCGCTACTCGCCGGGGCTCGACAAGATCAAAATCGGCGAGTTCCTGGGCGACCCTGACGAGTTCAACCTCAAGGTGCTCAAGGAGTTCACCGAGACGTTCGACTTCACCGGCGCCATCCTGGACACGGCGCTGCTTACGTACCTGGAGACGTTCCGGCTCCCCGGCGAGTCGCAGAAGATCCAGCGCGTCCTGGAGGCCTTCTCCGAGCGCTTCTTCGAGCAGCAGACGACGGGGGTGTTCGCCACCAAGGACGCGGCGTTCATCCTCTGCTACTCGCTCATCATGCTCAACACCGACCTGCACAACCCGCAGGTGAAGAAGAAGATGTCGGAGGAGGACTTCATCCGGAACAACCGCGCCATCAACGACAAGAAGGACCTGCCGCGGGAGTACCTGTCGGAGCTCTTCCACTCCATCTCCACCAACGCCATCACCGTCTTCAGCACGTCGGCGGCGGCGGTGGAGATGACGCGGAGCCGGTGGGCCGACCTGGTGAAGCGGTCGAGCGCGCTGGAGCCCTTCACGCCGTGCGACTTCAAGCACAAGCTGAGCCGGGAGGTGTTCATCGCGGTGTCGGGCCCCACCGTCGCGACGGTGGCCGCCATCTTCGACGGCGCCGACGACGAGGAGACGCTGAACCAGTGCGTGGAGGGGCTGGTGTCCGTGGCGCGCATCGCGCGGTACGGGCTGGAGGACGTGCTGGACGAGCTGCTCTGCTGCCTCTGCAAGTTCACCACGCTGCTCAACCCCTACGCCACCACGGAGGAGACGCTCTTCACCTTCAGCAACGAGCTCAAGCCACGGATGGCCACGCTCGCGCTCTTCACCATCGCCAACCGCTTCGGCGAGTCGGTGCGCGGCGCCTGGAAGAACGTCGTCGACTGCCTGCTCAAGCTCAAGCGGCTCAAGCTGCTACCGCCGTCGCTGATCGACCCGGACGGCAGCGGCGCCCGCGGCGGCGCGGAGCAGCGGCCGGGGCACCGGCACAGGTCGTCCGCCTCGGACGCTGGCGTCATCTTCCCCCCGACGCACCGCGGCGCGGGGACGAGCCGGCACGTGTCCGGCAT